GGTTCACATACACTCCGGGTCTATAATGAGAGATCATTTTCACCTTCACTATATTGAATTAGGCGGACAAATGGAGGTCATGTCTAACTAGTATTGGAAAACACATATAAACATACACAAAACATGTAGCGAATAACTATTAAATCATAAATTAAAATAATCACACATATAATGGTCGGGGTATTTGTTATAATGAGGCAAAATGATTATAAAATAAGCATACAGGTAAATTGATGTCGTGTATGTTTATATGTGTTTTCCAATACTAGTTAGACATGACCTCCATTTGTCCGCCTAATTCAATATAGTGAAGGTGAAAATGATCTCTCATTATAGACCCGGAGTGTATGTGAACCGTATGTTTGTATACGATTTGCATGAATCTCATGATAAATTTATTCAAATTTCACCATAATTTTTGACAATAGACATTGTATTTATACCACGTTATATACTGTTTAACAATGTGTCTGTGAATATTATACACACGGATTATTTTACGGATTAATTGTGTGTTTAACAAGTTTTTAAAACTTTTTTAGTGCGTTTTTAATAAGTTTTTATAACTAAACTTATATTAACGTATATTTATGTTTTTGTCGTATAATGTGTTGAATTGCTTAAAAGTTGTGTTTTATTTATTCACTATAAAATGCAGACAAAATGTAAGTATTGATAACTTAATTAAAAATAACTTTTAAAGACCTTAATTACAAAAAGCTTTTAATTTCTTAATAATAAAAATAATTGAATTTAATTAGCACTTCTAAATATATCATTAAATTTTTAACTTAATAAATATTTATTTAGTTTATATCATAATAAAAAAGTTAATTAAAATTAAATTTCTAAATAATAATAATAATAACAAAATTCATAACAATCTAAACTCTACACTCCAGACCAACCACCAAACCCTACACCCATCATGCTATTAGTCATCGCATTATACCTGTTAATAGCGGACAAATCACAAGTGTTATGCACCGGCGGGTGCCCAGCGGTGGAGCGGCGGCCGGACAACCCGTGCCAGTGCCGGACCAACAGCACCGGGCATACAGTGGTCGTGTGCAACGGGGACGACACCATACACATGAAAGCCTACTTCGATGCGCTCAGCCATAGCGTAGATAACACCGACACCAGCAATAACGGCACCGACAGTCTCGACGAACTAGTCGTAAACAACACGGCCATCACCGCACTGGTCGACCAGTTCACGGCCAACATGTCGTTCAAATCGATCATGATCAAAGACGCGTGGAGTTTATCCCGCATAGCGGCCAACGCTTTTCACGGGCCCAACACCCGTAGCGTACGGGAGCTGTCAGTGGTGGGTGAGTCCCAGTTGGGCGGCGACCCGGAGGCGAGCGAACTGTTCGACGCGTTGGCGTCGCTCCGGGCGGCCACACGCATAGCACTCGACCGCAACCGACTGACGCACATCCCGTCGGTAGCGTTTGGCAAGATATCGGGCGCCGACTCGCGCCTCATCGATCTCAACTTTAACACCCAGAGCAGCGGCGATCACGTGAATGGCCACATACGCTCCATCGGGAATTACGCTTTCTACTATCTGAACCGTTTGCGGCACCTGTACCTGTCCCATCAGCGTATCGACTACATACCGGCCAACGCGTTCGACTTTGAACGCCCCTCGAATCGCACCCTGTACATTTATTTGGGCAATAACCGGCTGAATAATACGAGCTTTGAGCGTGGTGTGCTGCTCAATGCCAAACGCCCGGTGCACCTGGAGCTGTACTGGAACCATAAGTTGACGTATTTGGACGAGGACATTTTTGGGCCCTTTCTGCGAGCTGATAAGCGCAATCAGATCCGATTGGGTGATAACCCGTTGGCCTGCGATTGCAAGTCCTATTGGATGGTCAGGGATAAGGACCGGCTCCGGGACCAGATCACCAATGTCAAGTGCAAAGTGGGCCCCAATAAGGTGTTCAGCATTGATTTGATACCCTTTGATCAATGTAATAGGAAAAAGGCCCGTGCTGCTAGGCTTAGACGCCCGCGCACCTAAATAATTGTTCCCTGTCCCGACAATACCCGGTCACCACGCCCAGCCACTATAATGTACTTGCGCCAAATTATACAGGGTGTCCGAAATATTTTTTAATGTGTACCCCTGGTTTATCGTGATAATTTTTTGCTTGGTATTCATTTTTTGTCAACTTTTTTCTACCATATATGGATATTATATTTTATCTAATCATCACCATAGTGCTTTAGGATTCATATGACCGCTAATCGTACAATAAACGTATTTTATTTAGGCTCGTGCAATACTCTCTGATAAGTTAAATATGCGAGCGCAATGTTTATAATTATAATTATTATGTAATATAATAGTTTATTAATAGTCATTTAAGTGTTATTAAATGTAAACATGTTTATTCTGTAGCAAATTTAATTATGTTGTTATATTTTTATATATTTAATTAATTGCTTAACGTTATTACTATTCTAATGCATGCAAGCCTTGTACAATCACAATAGATTATAAATTATAAATAAAAGTTGTGATCATCATCGAACATAAAAACCCATAATTAATACAAAAATTCCATAACAAAACTACATGATCATAGTTTTTAATTAAATCTCAGTAATTAATATCACTATAACCTAATTGATGGCAGCATCGCAGCCATTAAAACTAGTCAAGTTTAAAGCCACCAAAACTATAACAAAACACACATTTGAGCTAGGACAAAATTTTAAACAAGTAGAATTAGACAACATCTGTCCGTGATATAGCTGGATAAATAGTTTGACACGCAAATTCACCTTGATTTAATCATTAATCACGATGAAAAAAGTTTTGCCAAACAGTTGCCCGGGCTGTGGGCACAGATGGCGCGCGCGGGCGACCAAATCGACCCATAGCTGGCTGTGTGTATGACATTTGTTTTGTGCGAGTTTTCTAAACTGTGAGTTACATATATAATAATTTGTTTTAATTATAAATCATATGGTTATGTATTAATTTGGCCCATAATCGATCGATATTAGGCCGACAAGCGTAACAAAAGCTATCCAGTAGGGCATCGACCATACAGGTAAATTAATTCGCCAAGGTGATTTATTTAAAAATAATTTTTTCATTGGCAAAACAATAATCGCTATATATTCAGAGTTGAAATATTTATCGAGTTTTTCATAACATTAATTGTATTTTCTCTCCCCCTTTGAAACACACAGTACTTACTGCTGATAGAGTACTATTCAACACACAATACAATAGGCATCGCGACTACACAGTGTATGCGTGCAGTGATTGAGACTTTCCCCGTTCGCTATCCAACATCTCTACCACTAAAAGGTACCAATACTTCGGTCCCTAATAATGCACTGTATATGATAGGGTTCGTCCATAAATATGGGTCATGGATAGTGGCGGACGTAATTGATTTTTACTTAACAAGTCTAACAATTATTTTTATTTTATTATGGTATAGCGTTGTGCGCGATTGTGCAAAGTAAAACTGATCGAGTTCATAATATATAGATTTAAAAAAGTGGCTCAAACTTGGCCATAGCCGTCGGGTCGAACGATGAATCCGAGGCCCGTACGTAATTATCAAGGTATGTACATCGTGGTGGTTTTGTTATTGTAAAAATTGACCATGTTCGCTATGAAACATACGTACAAATCAAACTGTATTATTAGTTTTGAAAACTAATTTTGTTGTCTAGTGTTTGGTATAGTGTTTGTTAGCTGTTCAACACTAGTCACGAGTTTTAGTTAAACTGGGTTACAATAAGTGATAGTTAAATGATAGTTAATATTAGTTATAGCTAAATTAGCGCATAGTTAGTAAACTAATTAAATAGTTACAGTTAACGCTCGCTTCGCAGTACACACGCCATTACCACAACGCGCTATACAGGCTGTGAGTGTACGCTATAACGGGGGGCTGACTGTACGCACACAATGGTTGTCTCCACAGACAAGCGCTTTGGCCATTGCTTTTGCTTTCACTGTGTGTTTCAATGCATTCAATACTATTGAAAGCACTAACGGGTGAGTGAAGTGTGTGTTAAAGTGGGGGGAGAGCTGAGGGCGGGCGGACGCTCCGCGAACGTAACGGCACAAGTTTGCCAATAGTTTAACGCTGGACTAGTTGTGAGACTCCAGTGGTGCAGTTACGGTAATACTACACACTCCCACCCCTTTCCCAAAAACACAACCAAAAACTCACTATAACTTTGGTGTTTAGTGTTTGTTATGTGCGAAGCGCTGTATAAGCGTTACATATATATACAGCCCATACATATACAGTGTGTATACATATATATAAGCGCTATATATATGACATCAAATGTATAGCAGAAAAAAATAATAATAACTACAAAACTATTTTGCAATTGAAATGTAATACAAGTTTTAGTAACGCAAAAATTTTTACCATAATTTTTCATTGAATGTCAGCGTTGAACACGCCGTCGATGAAGCGGCCGGCGCTGGCCATCAAGTCGATCACCGGCCAGACCCAGTTCCTGGTGCCGGTGCCCCACTCGTCGACCAAGAGCAAACTGGTGATGGTGCCCAAACAGCGCCTGCTACTCAACTATATCAAACCCCAAGTGCTCAAGATACCCACCATCACCACCAGCCATTCCCAGGCCATCAACAGCACGGGTGGCGCAGCCACTGGTGGCCAGCAATCCATTAGACAGTATCAATCGGTGGCCGCCACTGTTGCCCAACAGCTGCAGCAACAACACCATCACAACACCCGATGCCTACCGACCGCTATATCCGTGGCCACCAGCGCGACGACGACGGCTGATGGCTCGGTGTCTGTGTCGGCCACGACGACCACCACTCACTCGCTGTTGGTCAGGTCGGCCGCTCACAAGAGTCCTAAAGTGCCACTCATCAGGAGCTTAGCTAATAATGCCACGGCTGGTGGTGGCGGCCAACGGGTGACCGCAGTGGCCGCCGCTGTGGCCGCACCCAAACAGTTGACGGATAAACAGTCCAAAGACTTGTTTATGATGACCTTAGGTACTGATCGCAGCCATTGTTGCTCTTCTTGTTTACCATTTATTGTCTTGTTTTTTGTGTGACTCTCTCTCTCTCTCCTCCCTATTCACTCCCCCCCTACCACCTCGTTATAGTGAACTACTCTATAGTGAACTGAACTATTGGTAAATTAATACAAATCTATAACATAAACAAGTGTCTCTCTCTCTCTCTCTCTCTCTCTCTCTCCTCTCTCTCTCTCTCTCTCTCTCCACTGTTTGCGTAAACTTTAAGTTAATTTACTTTTAATTTTGTAAATACTTTTAGTTTTTTAAATATTATTTTTTGTTTGGTTTAGTTTTTTACATAGTTTTGTAGCACTTGTTTATGTTATAGATTTGTATTAATTTACCAATAGTTCAGTTCACTATAGAGTAGTTCACTATAACGAGGTGGTAGGGGGGGAGTGAATAGGGAGGGGACAGTTTTGCATAGTGTTTAAATCAGGGTCAGTTGTTGCATGTTCAGTTTATGTTTAGCGCACACGTAAAGTTTATGTCCATTTGTAAAACTAAACAAAACAAAAACTTAATTAAAATTTAATTACAATTTAAATGTTACAATCAATGGCTAACCATCCGATGTCATCCATCGTTCACTATCTCTCGCTCTTAGGTTTGGTGACCAAAGAATCGTTGGCCGAACTCCAGTCGCGTAAATGCGAGCGCAAACGCCGCACGACAGCCAACCCTCAGTTCTCGTCGGCCGCACTCGAGGCCAAACGGATCACCAAACTTGAGATCGCCGAGCGTAAGGCCAAACGCCGACTACTCAACAACATGGTAGACGTCAGCGGCGGTGGTCAGCACACCGGCGGCACCAATCATCACACGACCGCCGGTCACAGCCATAGTTCGTCGTTGTCTTCAGCGTCTGCGGCGCCGCCGCCCTCGTCAGCGGCCGCTCAGTCCAAGACCAGTCATCATAACCACAATAATAGTAGTAATAATAATAATCATAATAATAGTAATAGCGGTACGAATAGCACAACCAATGGTGGCGTCGCCCCCACTGTTGAGAACCCGAAGGCCATCGGTGTCGAGCAACAGGAGATATCTCCCGGTATGTGTGTAGTGACCACTCAATGGCCACTCAATACAGCGGTAATCGCAGCCAAAGCTCGTCTATAATTAATTGTCTATTTGTGTTGTCGTATAGGACTGTATATCGTGACCAAAATCGGCAAACAATTGTCGGCCAACTGTTTCGTGTGCGAAGAGCTGTGCGAATGCGACTGCGATTCCATACTGTTTTGCAAGACATGCAAAACCCTATTCCACGCCACGTGCACCACATCCCGGCGCGAGATTGTCGACAATCACGCGCTGCCCAAGTGTTTGAAGTGCGACGGCCAGCGGCGCCGCGCCGACGAGCTGTTGGCCCGCAAACGCGACGATAGGGACAATTTGGTGGTCAAGAAGAAGGAGTTCGAGGATCAGCTCCAGCAGATGAAGCGCGCCTTACAGCAGCTCAAGATCAAGATCAAAGTATGTGCCATTTTTACCATATGTTTGTTTGTCAACTATAAGGAGTGGTGTTTATTGCGAATGTGGTTTCACTCGCGGTTTAAAAGTTTTGTGTTTGTTTTCACACACTTTGAAACTTTTTACTGCATTATAATAACGAGACGTTTATTATAAATAATTCATTAGTGAGATATTGTGTTTGTGTACACTTTCCTTATTTCACAATCTCTCTCTCTCTCTCTCTCTCTCTCTCTCTCTC